TTCTCAAGGATGCTACAGGATATGATATTGGGAGGAACCCTGATTACTATCCGACCGAGATAAGCGCCGTATCGTAAAAATAATACAACTTTATCCAGCCGGGTACGGAAATCAAAACTTCTTCAAAAGTTAGTGTCTCAATGGAAGCAGTTTCACGTGTTTTCCAACACGCTCATGACAGTCCATGTCTGGAAAATAAGAAATACGCTTTTATGAAAAGAAATCATAGAGAAAAACGAGCCATTTTTCTTGGAAAATTTCGCCAAGTCGAGTGAAGTGGTGACACTCTTTCATTTGTGATTTTTGATTTGTGTCTTTCTTTCTCTTAACGTTTTTCTTTCTCAGATCGGTTTTCTACTTCGTAGCACACATGTATGGAGAAGAAAATGATCAGGAGGATGGTCAGAGGTTCCAAAATATCACACTTAAAAAAGTGTCACCACTTCACTCGACTTGGCGGAAACTTTCCAAGAAAATGGCTCGTTTTTCTCTAGGATTTCTTTTCACAAGAAGTATTTCTTATTTTCCAGACATGGACTGTCACGAGCGTTTGTAAAACACGTGAAACTGCGTTCCATTGAGACACTAACTTTTGAAGAAGTTTTGATTTCCGTACCCGCTGATAAAGTTGTATTATTTTCTCACGATACGGCGCTTATCTCGGTCATATAGTAATCGGAGTTTCTAGCAATACCATATACTTAGAATGGTGCTGTCCCGAAGCCTCATAGGTATCTAAATGTTGAACAACAATTCGAGGCTCCAAAAAGTTTATTTCAAAAAGCTTCAAAAGAACTTAATCTCAAAGCTTTCCAAAATTATTGCGATATTTCGGTGCCTTAGCACCTTCGTCAGGCCTGAAATAGCTTTTCTTAGTGAAGCCGGACAATATACAAGATATATTGGACCAACTCACACGTGTCTGCCTCCGTAACCTTCAAACTTACCCAACGAGAAATAAGGATAACCTACCCTACTCGCACCCTTAAATATTAGGAAGGGCATGCAGCGATTGGAATGCATGATATTATGTGACAATTTGAAGGATGTCACGTAGCTCTTCCTTGCTGTTTATTTCGGGTGATAAGCGTTTTATCTCAAGGGCTTCCAGTATTTTCCTCTCCATTGTGCTCTCTATTGAGCGGTGTAGCACTTTAACTGCCAGTGTAGGGGGCATGTTTCTTTTGTACGATGCCTGGAGACACTCCATTAAGAATAACGCTGACGGATTCTGCGGCTGCCTGCGTTGCTCATCTAGCCTTCTATGAAGAGGTCTCATCGTTTCTCCGACATATTTTTGCCCACATCCCTGACATTCTACTAAGTAAACTGACCCCCTGAGCTGACATATTTTTGAATCGATACAGTAGCTACAACCCTCTCTGCCGCCTTTTTCTTCATTTTTTTCTTCATTATCGCATTCTTTTTTCTTCAAACGCCTACTCACATACTCGAGGCCCTATGAAGAAAAATGCGGCAGAGAGGGTTGTAGCTACTGTATCGATTCAAAAATATGTCAGCTCAGGGGGTCAGTTTACTTAGTAGAATGTCAGGGATGTGGGCAAAAATATGTCGGAGAAACGATGAGACCTCTTCATAGAAGGCTAGATGAGCACCGCAGGGCACTGAGAAATCGGTCGGTCATCCTAGAGTGAGCAGATTTCTCCAGGCATTCGATACAAGTCAAGACATGCGCAGAAAATCCCCCTTACACTAGCAGTTAAAGTGCTACACCGCTCAATAGAGAGCACAATGGAGAGGAAAATACTGGAAGCCCTTGAGATAAAACGCTTATCACCCGAAATAAACAGCAAGGAAGAGCTACGTGACATCCTTCAAATTGTCACATAATATCATGCATTCCAATCGCTGCATGCCCTTCCCAATATTTAAGGGTGAGAGTAGGGTAGGTTATCCTTATTTCTTCGATGGGTAAGTTTGAAGTATACACGGAAGGCAGACATCGTGTTGAGTTGCGTCCATATATCTGTATGTTGCCCGGCTTCACGGCCTGACGAAGGTGCTAGGCACCGAAATATCGCAATAATTTTGGAAGCTTTTGAGATTGAGTTCTTTTGAAGCTTTTGAAATAAACTTTTTGGAGCCTCGAATTGTTGTTCAACATTTAAATACCATTATGCTGTAAGATTTTAGACGAAATTGTCCGTTAATTTATTTAATTTTCTTTATTTTGAGGGGACCCTGACCAATTTTCAGCGTGAACTGACACTTCGGCATTTAATGCGCCTCTTTTGCTAGGATTTTCCTTTAACGGGATTCCGGCAGCGTTTCGCCTTTGAAATGACCTATGTGACCTAAAGGGATAATAATCTCAAGATATGATCAGGTAAAAATAAAGTGCAGCGGAGAAACATGTGATGGAAAGCATATATTTGCTTATCATATATCAGGCTTAAGCTTTTCGCCACATATGTTCGTCCCATACTAGAATACTGTACCATGGTGTGGAGCCCTTCAACGCGTAACATGGTTGAGCTCATTGAGCAAGTTCAGTCCAAATTTACTGAGCGAATTTTTGCTCGTGAGGGAAATTTTCACATGTCGTATAAAGATAGACTGATATACCTTAACGAAGACTCTCTAGAAATGAGAAGAAAGCTATACGATTATGATTTTGTTTATAAAATTTCTGCCGGCCTTGTAGATTTGGATTTTGATGCTCTTTTTTCAAAAAGTCAACAACAATAGGGCGCACACGGGGTCATAACTACAGACTCCTGAGAGAGAAAACCAATACCGCTGAATTTCGAAGCTCATTCACTCAGAGGATTATCACCTTTTGGAATGACTTGCCACCCTCTGTCGTAAATTCGAGCTCTCCCAGCTCGTTCAGGAATAAGTTTAGAAAAATCCTGATTTCCAAAGGTTGGGTCTGAGGACATAAAGCTGAAACACTTCTAAATCTGTTAAGGCACAGAAGCGATCTTATTCTATCCAGTTATTAAATGCACTGCATTCTTTGTATTTTTATAGTTTTTCATGTTACTGTTTGTTTCTATACACTTTTGTTTGACTTCATTGCTTACATTAAGCTGAATTAGTTGATTTTTCCCTACCCTCACTGGAACTTCTGCTACAGAGCGGATTCCGGCAAGGTTGGCGGACCTACTGAGTTGGTATCCGGAGCTCCACTTTCATGGCATGGCATGAGCTTGCAGTGTTGGCGGCCACTGCCCTTCGGCGCTGGATTTCCGCTCCCTGTTCTAGCAGTACCCATTTTTTGGTGCCCCATTCGGTCGTATTGTACTTTTATCGGAGATATGTTTCTACTGAATCGTAATGTTTTGTTTCTGGAATTTTGGATTCCGATGATAAATATCAATATCAATATCAATATTGCGTCATAGGCAGAGCGAGTGGTTTTTGAAAAATTAAAATACAAAACTGTTGTCCCCTCTAAGTGGAATTTTGTATTGATGTTCAGAACAGCGTTTATATGCCTCACATTTCCTCACCGGAACCTTTTTCGAAAACATCTTCATATGCAAGTTTTTGAGGAAATTCGTAGGTGGAACTATAATTATGCGTCGCAGTGTATATCTATTTCCGAGGTTACCTGCACTCTTTAAACGTCTAAAATTTCCGATATTTTTTTCAATTCTCGTTTGCGCTATTTATCCTACCCTGGAGTGATTTACTAACTCCGAGGACTGCAGTTGAAATACAACGCACAAGCCTGAGGTGGCCATCATCATGGGCCGGGTGCACCAAGCCCAATCCCCTCACCCAACTAAGGGATGAATCCCCTCACCCAACGAGGGGATATATCCCCAAGGTTGGGGATGTATCCCCTAGGTTGGGGATATATCCCGGTTCCGTCACAGGATCCATGCGAAACGCGACCATGCGAAACGGTCACTGCCGTCGACCCTCTGCGTCTCTGCCGGCAGGGGATATATCCCCTAGTCGAGACTAGGGGGATTCGTCCCCTCAGATGCCGACGCGGAGAATCGACGGCAGTGACCGTTTCGCATGGTCGCGTCATAGGACCCATCGAAAAATGATGGGTCCTGTGACGAAACCGGGGATATATCCCCAACCTTGGGGACACATCCCCTCACCCGCGTTGGGGATATATCCCCAACCTTGGGGATACATCCCCAACCTTGGGGATATATCCCCAACCTTGGGGATATATCCCCAACCTTGGGGATATATCCCCTTGGGGCCTTGGGGATATATCCCCAACCTTGGGGATATATCCCCTCGTTGGGTGAGGGGATTCATCCCCTAGAGTGTATGGGTCCCCATCCCCTCGTTGGGGTTTGCTGCACCCGGCCCATATCATCACTCCTGTGACGTGGCCTTGTGAAAACAGTGATGAGAAATTTGTTTTTGTCTCTTCATGGAATTTGGTTTGTCTTCAAATTCGCGTTACTATTGGCACGCTTTTTGATTGGGGACTTTTCCAAAAAGTGAAGTGCTAGTCAATTTACTACAGGTGGGTATATTATTATTGTCAGCAGTGAACTGTGCCCTCTATTTAGTTCCTTGTGAGCCTTGCTGTAGAACTTCGTTATTCTCGATTTCTCTAAGAATCGTTCATTGCAGGCACAACGTGAGCTTGAAGAAGAAAGACGTCGACAACAGCAAGAACAAGAACAACAACAACAACCCGATTTATCCAATCTCCAACTGGAAGAGAAAAGGTAAGGCATCATGCATGGAAAATGCAGTCATTTTTTGTGTTCATAAGAGAACATTTTTTTGTGAGCTACTGAGTTCACAGTTGTGAGCATTTTCCCACATGGGGATGCCTGTTTAATCAGTTTTCACTATTTCCAAATGGCTAGTGCTGTTGTCCTTCAAGCCCCCTCTGACATCAGGCGGAAAGCTTATAAAGCTAGGTGTACTCGTGCCGTTTCTGTGGCCGATCACAACGGCTTTTCTCATTGCACCAATTTTGAAAAGTCCCAGGCTAATGCATGCATTCGTCACGAAATTAGTTCCTTTTTTTTCGCCGCGCCGCACATGACAAAATGGTGGTTAGTTACAGCGCTCAGCTAACAGTCAGTACCATTTCTCCATATACCTGTCCCTGATGTAAATATGAAAGGAAAAAAGGGTGTGTTTTTGCTTGATTTATGTAGATATCTGTTGTCTTCAGGAGCGGTCCAGACATTCGAGAGTTTGAGCATGCAGACGTGATCAAAGGGGTGTACTTCACTTGTGAGTTACTGGGCGGCGACGAAGCAATGACGAAACCCGTGGTATGTCTTATATCGATAGAGAAACCTAGGTATCTAGTTTTTTTGTAAGCAAGAATAAACTTGATTTCAGTTAATGCAGGCCATAGAAGATTTTCTTATGTCCCAGTTGCTCTGTGAGGGGGAAGACGCGGTTGTTCCCGCTGTTCTTCTTCTTTATTCTCTGAATAAAAAGCCAGCACGAGAGGTAATTTTCTTGCCTGAACTGCTTATCAGCTTCAGAGATTCAGCTTGCTCCATATAACAACATCTAGGTTGCGGTGGAGACCATTGGAAAATATTTGCAAAATATCATCGAAAATCCTGGAGAGGCGAAATACAGAAGGATAAGAATGTCCAATAAAGTCTTTCAGGTATGCATTTTCTTGAAAGTCGCCACCATTAAAAGCTTTTTGGTTGTTTTTCGTAGGAGAGAGAACTCTTTATAACAATCTTTTTTTGTTCTTACATATGGGTATTCAATTCAAAATACTCTCCCAATCAGATCATTGGTGCAATCGCTTCTATGGATAGAGTATTAGAGACTAGGCTAGAGCTTGTGCCGTTCGGAAGCTTTGAAATTACGCTGCACGGGTGGTAGGGCGGTATGCCTAAGTGCTTTCGTGTTTCTCAATCACAACACGCGGGATGTCTGCGCCCTCTCGCACGGGAAACTCTTGCGTGTTCTCCTCTGCGAGTGTGGGTATAGGTGCAGCCAAAAGACCGAAAAAAATGGGTCAAGGTGTGCACTGAGTGAAAAGTCGAATCTGGGTTACCCGCCCTTTGTGGGTGGAGCGTTCTCTGCAGGAGTGTTTCTCAGTAAGAAAAACTCATAACTCTGGTATGAGAAAGCCTATTGAGCTGTAGTAAAATCGGTTTAAGAGAACAATATCTAGGGTGTCCTAAACATACCTGAAACTTGGAGGAAGGAAGGGAGGTACAGGGTTAACGGGGGGTGTGAAATTACCAAAGTGGGCGGAGTTTGCCACAAAACCTCATAATTAGCTTCCTAGAGGTCTTTCCGAGCCTACTTGATAAAAGCCGATATTTATGATCAATATTGATTGATACCGCGTGACTCAATGGAATTTTGATTGTTGCGACCCCATCAATCTATAGTGTGATTAGTAAGCAAATCTGAGCCTCCCAGACAAAAATCGATATTTTCAGTCGATATCGATCGATAGCATGTGAACCGATAAAATTTCCATTATCAGTACAGGCCCCAATCAATAGTGTGATTTCCGAACTTATTCGAGCACTCTGCGCAAAAACCGATATTTTCAATCGATATCGATCGATAACCTGTGACCCATCTAAAATCCAACTCCTACGACACTACCCAATCAATATTGTGATTCGCTTAGCAATTCGAGGCCTCTGCACAAAAACCTATTTTCTACGGAGATTTCGCGTAAGCCCCGCCCACCTGACCGGGCTCCGCCCACTACCGTACCCTTTCTAACCAAGCCCTGCCTTCACCCTACACGCCCTAGGGGCAACTTCCTACCCATCCGGGACCATGCCCTTAACTGTTTTCTTGGGTCTACGTAGCGTGCGAGCCTAGTGGTTACAAACAGACAGACACACAACAAACACACCAAACTTCTGCTTTATA